GGTCTAGTTTGATTCATCACAATCATAATCTCTACATGTCCGATTTAACGCGCCAATCTTCCACACAGGCGTTTCACATGCGCACGCACGCACACACATATAGATACACACACACTGGCACAGATGCAAGAACACTCCTGGAATCACGTTGGACACTCCCATGGTGATTTTGGTTGAATATCTAGAGAAATTCGCATTCTCCTGCGGAGTAGGCTGTGATTGCGTGCATGGTAGTATTCCCAAAGATTGAAAGACTGAAAGTATCTCTGCTTCCGATACACTGCAAATCTATCGGTTCAATATAGCCTACCACCCAAACACCATACACACTTATGCCCTACTCATTCCCTATAGACAGTTAGGGAATAACTTAACTGCTAGGTTGCAGGAAATATTCAGATCAACTGACGCACATCGCTTTATTTGTGTGAGAGAGCATTATAAATTGCACGAAGAATGTGCCGTCTCAAACTGCAGTTACAACAGACAATCCCTTACTCACAAGCATCTCACTGAGTATGGGAAAATACACAACTGCGATTGCTGGTCACCCGGGGTAAATCAGTTCTCGTTCCTTTCATTGACATGATGCACCGTCACATCATCCGCGTGGATTGTACGATACAAGTTCTCACTCAGTTGACTCGCGGATCGCGTATTCAAACCACCAAACGGTATTACTATCACCACGCTTATCGATTATGGCCCCTCTCCCATACTCAGATCCTGCAACTATGTGATAATAATTAAAACAAAAAACGATTTTGATCATGGTTAAACAGAGCGAGTAGTTTATCAACATGTCATTTGTTTGGTCACTGTGCTTCTCGTTCTATTAGTTCTTTTATTTTAACACGTTCATCGACGAAATCCGTTCTCCGAACTGGTCTTAGTGGAACTAACGAGTTCCTTCCATGCGGTAGGAGGCTTTGCTCAGCTTACAATTTCGGGCACTCGTTTTTCTACACTGCCTTATTTAGTCCTTGAGCACTAGACCCAAGCCCCCTCCGTTTAACACGAACAAGCATTCCATCTCAGCGATCCGCCCGAATGTGTTCTCAAAGGGCAATTTGTCCGGCGGATAATTTTGAAACAGAGAAATGCAGTGCCACCACAGTGCAGCCAAAGAGCTTGAGCAGAAAGGAGTGATTGTTTTCAGTAACTCATTTACTAGCCTCTACAGATCATCCAACCACTGTGGCTTCTGATCCACCGCACAGAACGCACACTCTACAACCTGATTTCAGAAAAAGGGGGTTGACTACCGGTGTGAAACTCGTTATAGCATTCTCCCAATCATCCCTTTGCCTATCAATTACTGTGACCCTTCGCCGACTACAAGTCTACTCTTTTCTAAAATGCCACTTCCTGATACGATCCGTTACGACTAGAAGATGGATCAATGAAAACAATTGTTCCCTTCTGAACGTGTGTTCCCGTGTCATAAAATGACTGCATTCTGAGTGAGCGAGGACGTGGGGACCGGTAGAAATGCAAGCTCTTATCAACTAATTACGATTAAGTACTCACGTTTCTGTTAAGTTTATGATTTATGGCAGGTTGTATTTCAGCGCACAAATAAATTGCGACCCCGTTCGCGATAGATGGTAGATGACCTCTGATCTTTTTGATTGTAACCAGTCAATAAAGTTGATAGGTTGTGAAATGATTCAGTTAAATTCTTTGAATGATTTATCTCAGCCGAACGGGCAATAACTGGGTTCGCTTGGTTCCTAACCGGTCTGTTACGCGTCAGTTGAATAGGGTAGGATCTCAGATATGATCCACCAAGCGTCTAGTGATTCAACCCAAGTAGGTTATCTCCACTGGCATCCTGTCTTTGTAATGATATAACTGGTTCAGAAGAGAGATTTAAGCATAACTCAGTGCCATGTTATGCATCCAGATATCCTCAGCCCTGAGACTTAACATCGTCTCCTGTCACCCGTCGTCACTTCTAAAAGGAATGAACGTGCAGACTGCTTTACATAAAAGTGAACACTGCCTGTCTTTCTGTGCCAAAACAATTCGGATATCCATCAGCTGAGAAGCCGTCTATCATTTTATTCCGTTTTCACCTTTTTAGGAGTTCCTGGAGCACAACACTGGTGGATAAAACCCTTCTTGTAGTAAACTGTACTATAACATGACTTGTGCAGGCAACTGTGCCTACATTTCAATCCAAAAATGTATTCACCGTTACAATGAGATAAAAAGCTGAAATGAAAATTCATATACAACAATGGTAAAACTTAAACGGGTGTTCATCTTTGAAGGTTTAATGTCCTGCACTGCTACGGGACCTACCCATGACAACTGGTCTTATTGTCCGACTCAAGCTCGTTTAGGGTGGATACTTCGCCTAGTAAAACCATCTGACTGACTGGCGAGGTAGATGAAAAGGCGAGATCACTGTCTGATTCTGTCTTCAAAGCGAACCGAATGCTCGTCTAGGATGTGCTAGAAATGTAGAATATCTGTTGGAATTCGGGATTTATCTCTCACACTGCACTGCAGATTTAGCGTCAAAACTTCTGTGTATGCATGTTATGACTTATTCTCAAGTTGAGCCATAAGCATATCGGCTAACAATGGTCCTATTATTATTAAGGTCCTATTGTTATTATCCGTTTGGTAATACAACAACTCACCAGCGAAAAAAATTTGTACATTTTTATGAGAGCAAAAAGAAGCATCGTGACCCAATCCGGTTCGAATTAGTGACCTTTGGCCTTCGTATTGATTGATTTCTCTTCCCCGTCTGTGTGTGTGTGTTCGGTGGTCCCCAATGCTGTCACTCTTTCAATCAAACATGATCAGCATGTATGTACACATCCGAAGAGATAGCTAAGAAATCATTGAATTCAACACATCCTCGAATCATGATGCTTCTTCTTGATCTCATGAAAGTGTCAAAGGGAACTGGTGGTATGAAGGTGTACATTGCCTGTGCATTCGGTAAACAAACTCCGGGTTTTCTTCAACGTCAGTGCTGAATTTAGCCACCTAATGAAGCTCTCGAATAGAGGTTTCTTAGTCATTTAACCTTCTGATGAATAATGAAGGTGTCTTATCCCCATTCGGCAGCATTTCTTCTTCCGTTGGTCATCGAGACCGGGGACGAAAAGAATCTTGCGATCAGAATATATGAATGCTAGGAGTGGAATAGCGATTTCACTTGCGTGCAGCTATGACCAGATCCCTTGTATGATGTGTGTGTGTTGTCTCATGGAGGTTGTTGACCGTTGTCATTCAAATATTGATTGCCAAACAACTGCAAAATAACTTCACAGAACAACCACTTTGTTTTTCATGTTCATCACTGTAAAATCTTCCGTGTATTTCAGAACCTGTGCATGCATATCACTATGAGTAAACTGTTTTACTTGTAACTAACTATTCAGTATCACATTCGTGAAGTATCTGCTGCAATCGATTGTAGCCTTGATCCTGCTTGTATATCGCTCTGCTATCCACATAAATCGACAACTACAAACCCCACTCGATCATTCCGCCATTTTCACTTCCACAGACCGGTTCATCTGCGTCCGTATCCGACAAGGTGTTTGTGTCTTGTCAACAGGACAGTCAATTCCGCATGAGCAGTCGACTATCGTTGTATCGTTTGACGGAAGATGATGTGGGCACCTATGTGTGTGAGGTGAACAATGGTTTGGGAGAACCGGTGCAGAAACGCGTCAGTTTCTTACATCCATGTGAGTCATTTGGTCACTGGCACCTATCGCCATTCCACACACACATACACATATACACACACACACTGACGGGTGCTCGGCACAATGCTCTATAGATCACAGAGCCCGACATACAGGCATATTACTAGGGAATAATTGAGGAGGAGTGAGAGTCCCTGAAATTGAGATGAATGCCTTACAGCAGACATAAAACGTAACTGCACAAATAAAGTAGACGTATGAATTTCAAAAGTTAAAGTCCGCCCCTCCCCCTGGTTTAGGTTCTCTCTACTGAATGAGTGTATGGAGCAGTCAAATGCCATCTTAAATGCCTTCGTTCCATGTGAAGGAGAATAGCAAACGGGGGCAAGATGTAGTGGATAGAAATAAATAAATCTTGGAATGAAACATCTATATTTTGTTTACCATTCACGCCTTTCCACAGTAACCAACCATTCTATGATCCTTTTAGATAGGTAATTTGTTTTTGGATCTGTCCATACGTTTTTGATCGTGAACCTATAGATATATCTGTTTGCAAAAGGCAGACCCCTTAAAAATTCACTGTGATGATGAATAACCTGCAGCCGCTCCTTCAATCCCGATGAGATATAATGAATGTAGTAAAAATGGACACGCAGCTGTAATTTTGACATGGAAAAAACTGATATGATCAAATTCAATCAAAAAATGTGTTTATTTATTGCATTCCGAGGGGGGGGGGAGGTTGTGTGATCAACAATGGGCGGTCACATTTTTTCCAATATAGTGTATTGCTGGAGAAAAAAGGCTATCCAGTACTAAATTGCTTCGTCGCTAATCACTCACTTCAGTCAAAACACACGTACACACATATGGTAGATGATGATAATCTTCGTTCACGGTCTTTGATCACCGGCGAGCGTGAAAAGTAAGTGATTGAACATCATACTTCCGCGGAATACTTGAACAGTTAGAAGTTTCTATTGCAATGAATCACTGGTTCATCTACTTTGATTGGTCTGAGAAAATCGATCGAATACCCTTGAGAGACAGATACATCAATAATGCCCTTAGAGTATGTATATTCAGAGAGAATAATTCTCTCTAAGAACTGGCTCTAACAACAGTGAGAAAGTCATTGGCACTGAGCTGGTGGGATTGAATCGGTCGGCTCAACTGCTTACTGATCTGATCAGCCACACATTCGCGTTCTTTATCCGCACTTAGGATGTTGCTTTTGCACCAATAATTATATAAAACAAGTCTGGAACCGCGGTAAAACACCATACACACCCTCTCCCTCGTTATTCAACTCCTGGTTCTCATTGTTCCCTATCCAGCTGCATTCGTTAAAAAAATCAATCATTTTTATTTATTGAGTAAACAATCCATAGCAATTTACTACCGTATGTAAACATGCTGTGATCAGTTCCACAGAAAAATTTCGGAACGTTTTTGGGGGAAACAGATTTCACAAAACGATTCAGTGATCTGAAAACGAAACAATTCCTAAGTGGTGCGCGTTTCGACGGGACCGATATTCATTCCTCTTTTGAGAATCCACTTCTGAGTGGCTGAACGATTTGGCCGCCAAAACAAGCTCCGTGGTCTGTCTGATCAGAGTTACTACCACATGATCTTTCCGTTCCACAGCCAAATATATTGGGCATTAGGCTCATTTCCTGATAGAGTGACTAATGTTCTCCAATCCATGGAATCAACAACCATAGAACGCCTCCCGGTATCCCCGTATTCCATTATTTCCTTCTGTTCCACTGGGTTTCAAGGTCACACTTCCCACGACCTAATACATCCTCCCTGAGATGTTTGTATTCTCAGCCTAAGTAGGCTTCCAACTGGCAGAGTGATGGTGCTCTGCTCCGGATGACTTCCAGGTTTAAGACCATATCATTCGATTTGACTGTGCAAGAATATCAAGCAATTGTTGAAAGAAGAAGCTTCGGGTACGGCAAATATCCGAGTTAAAACAATTTGTTTTTGTAAATGCACAGAACTGAATCGAGGTGAAAGGTGAGAGAAAAATTGAATATGCAGCGCACATAACCGTGTGTGTGTGTGTGTTATGCTCCGTGATTCGATTTGCCAGGTCATCATGATCCTGTTTTAAATTAAATTACTCGGTAGTCAAATGAAAGGCCAGCAAACGCATTTGCTAAATCTGCTCGGTTCGATGAGGTTACTGGGGCAAAACCGATAGGATCGATTAATGACCGACGAACGATATATCTATTGTAGTTACCGGTATCTGAATTTGTTATGGCTTTCCTAATTTAATGTTATGTTAACGAGTAAACTGTTTTAATCAGTCTGTTAAACATTTCTGATCCAATGATGATGGAATTCATCAAATAAGGTGGAAGGACAGTGATTCATATCCCAAACAAATCCCACATACTCCCATGATATTGGGATAATGATGGATAGAAGAATTCACTTGTAGGCGGCACTGTATATGAGGAAACCGGAAAAGGTCCCAGAGAGTTTGACTCTACAACCCTGATTGAAAATTGTGGGGGATCTTACGTAATCGACTACTTCGGAATTGATAAAATCGGTTGATAATTCTCAGCACTGACCATTGCTACTCTCACTACGATGTGTGTGTGTGTGTGTGTGTACAGTGTAGTCAGGTGTGTGCAACCAATGATGGGGTGGGATGGAGGGTCGGAGGAGAACGATCAACAGATAGTTCGAATGACAAAATACCCGATTGGCTTCATAATTCTTGAACTACTTTTGAGCTCGTCCGAGGCACGAAGTGCGAAGCGTTGCACTGATGATTCAGTGAATATCCGTACCGAAATTCGAGAAGAACCCGACACTACACTGAAATTAGTTCAGAATCACGAAATAGCGGATAATACAAAAATGATACATTTTTGTTAGATTCAATCTGTCATTGTTTTCAGTCCATGGGAACTCTGCGTACTATTTTTCTTCCCGTGTGTGGAATCAATGAATCGAACACCTCCTCCTCCCCTCCCCGGGAAGTATCCATCGCAGCGGCACAATACACACAGACCCTAGTGTTTTGTGAATGTTTGAAATTACAAAATAACAAATAAAATATTCAATTCATACAGTCAGACAGACACAAGAAGCGTTCACCGTCGACGGTAGATCTCCGGGNTGGGGGGGGGGAGAAAATGAATGGGACATAAAATTAGGACACATCAACAAGGAAGCAATAGTTATTCAATTGAAATTTTGTTGAAGAATTAAAGACTCGTTTGTGTATGAGATTGTTATTAGCAGTCGCTCACATACGTTCCTTTTTCGTCCCATCCTCTATCCGTAGTCTCGGCTACAGCTTTAGACGACCGGAGTTTCGAGGCTCTGTGTTTGTTTGGTCAAATCGTCCTCAAAGTGAAAAATCACCGTAGATCCCATTAGATTCAAATAAGTTTTGGAAAATGATCTTCCACAAAATGGCATCAAAATCTCAATAATTTTTAAATTTCATAGTTGTAGATTTTATGCATGAATAGCTGTGCAGACAGTAATTGATCAAATAGGTCAACAATCCCAGAAATCGATTGTAGCGGTTACGGATGTTGATACCAATGTAACCCTGGCATGAGTCGCCAAGATCACTAATGTTATCCAGACTCATTCTGATTCAAACCGAACGAAAATTTTCCCGGAAGAATTCTTTTCATTGCATCATGATTATACTAACGCAAATAAATAGTGTCTCTCAAAGCAAATGTGTTCGAGTGAATGTTGAAAAATGTATGCATTAGATGCACCTACTGAAAAGCACTGGGGTATTTTCAATGCCGATAGTGAATGTTTGGATTAACCCATTCGGTTTTTCACAGGCACCGGGCACTGCTGAAGTCCCAACCCGAAGAATCGCGGTTTGACTCCTGACAGGGACACAAAAAGTACGCAGTGTTGACGAATCCCAAACAGGACGAAACAGCTGTCCAGTGTTCTTTGTTAGTTGTCACAAACATTTCCATTGCACTAATATTTTCAATGCCCTTCTTAAAAGAACTGCAGCACAGTAGAGCTAAGCCAGATTTCAATAACAGCCTACATTCTCGTTCGCGGTTTGTAAACAATTGAACAGATTCACATGGAATCAAAACGAAAGGTCAGTGGCGAAGTTCGGTGTGCGTCTGAGCTCACGCGAGAGAGCGCGACAAATTGCCCAATCAGATCACATTAAAGTTCATTAGTTGCACTGGTTTGCTGTATCAGAGGTTCTCTGCATTCTCTGTTGTTAATTGTGCCATTCCTGAGAGCCAGCCAATTAAATGTCTGGTAGCCGGAACGACAGATCAAAACTGTCCCTGAGGTACTGTACGCGGATTAAATTTGGGGTCTGTATTTGTTCGTCTTTTCATATTCATATTGTTCAGTATATATTTTAGTGTTCTCTCGAAACCAGCTGTTTCCTCCTCATCATCATCATCGTACAGCGCAATACAGTGAACAGAACTTCACTGATCACGGCCAAACCCGCAATGCATACAAGGTTAGTGGGGAAAAATTTAAGGTGGACAGGGATTGGGCCTATACTGACGGAGAGTGCACAATCGAATTCTGCGTGCATTCCGTTCCAAGTATTCTGACCTGATAAGCAATGACTCAAAGAACGCCTCGGTTGTCTGTTCGCTACCATATGCTCCAACCGACCAGTTTCGGGGTCTTTCGGACCCCAACCTGGAAGGTGTGACACACTTACTCTACCTAATGACCGTGTGCATTTCTTCACGCCTCCACGTTGTCTGTTGACCTCCACGTGGGTTCCTCCAGCCCGGAGCGGATACAGGGAATAAGGCGCGATGTGGTAGACGTTAGCTCAGCATAAGCAAAAAAAGTGTCCTAGCCAGCGAAGTCTACGGATCCTGGTATAACCTAGGGATTTTCCAATATGATCATCACGTTTTCCAAATGGGGAGGGAATTTGAACACAGATACGATCGGTAAACCTTGACATTCTGTTATCTATTCACAGCTGACGTCAACTCGTGGTGGATCTGCAACGAGCGGTTTGGTTTATATTGAACATAGATGTTCTATAGAGTCCATTTAGACTATATCCCCTCGTTGTCGATTAGTCCGCGATTTCGACTGGGTTTGAGCGCAGTCTTGCGAGACTGCTAACCATTCACAAGTGAATCACGTACTTGATTTCACTTGCAGTTGAACGAGTTTGGATCTCATGCGGAGCATGCTGTTTGGATAGCTCACTCACAATGACTAGAATAAATACACAATTTCAGTTATGGAACATGTAAGTGTACACTCGATTTTCAGAAGAGAAACTGCCACCAACACGTGGTTGCCTGAGTAATACAGAAAGATAAAACAAATAAAGATCAACAAACTCTGTATCTTTTCAATACGTACTATACTGTGTTGTAGATGGAGACTGAGCATCAAGAGAAATACACAAAACAATCCAGCTGACCGATGTGACTCAGGGGAAAAACTGAATCACAAATTTGTCAGTTCCAAGTGCATTCAACCAATGTATACTGGATAAACGAGGGCCTGGAGCTTCCTGAATGGTCCGATCGAAATTGAGACCTAGTCTGGCGAGCTGGATTGACATTAGTCAGACTCTATTCACGCGTGCTGTATGATAATGAGACATTCCCGTGTCCGACCGACCGACTGAACCAATCCTCCCCTCCGCTTCTAGCCGACCTATTTCCTGTATTTCCGGGGGTGTGGTATGGTGTGAGACAATTGACAATCAGTGAGACGTGGGGACTTATTTAGCCTCTGTGAACGATCCAGTCTCCCCCGACTGAGCTGTCAAATGTATGGCGCGCTCGCGCGCGCGCTCGCTCGCTCGCTTCAGTTCGATTACACAATTCGCACATCTCTATTTAGTCACCGCATCTGAGTGCCTCGTGTCTGACTCACACTTTGAGGTCGTCACGTTATGCCCGGTTGCCCGGACCTCGGGGGGGGGGGGGGGGNGATATCACATCGCATCGCGTGGGAACCACCACCCCGGGGAACCCCTACCCTGATCACCAAATGCGCTGGGCACAACTGAGGCGGCTGGACACAACGTGTGTTGATGCGGATTAGCACTGTGGCGAACTGACCACTTTTCCACCGCACACACACACACACATAGTCAGAAGTGGCGGGCACACGTGCTGTCACTTTTTTCATCCCGTAGCGTGCCAAAATTCAATTAGAACACGTGGATTGATGAAAGCTTTGTTCATTATTGTTCTGTTATTCTGTATCTAAGCTATTGATGGATCGTGAAGCCGAGGAGGAAAACATTGATAAATGAACACAGACCACATCCAAATCCGTGTCTATGTGAATCTGCGGTCTCATTGTTCAAGTGGGATGACTATCCCCAAATTTACCGAGTGGACTAATCCATTCGGTTCCACGCAGACAAACACACACAAACCGATCACCGAGCTCAACGTGTATAGGATGTTCGGAGCTGCAAGTAACTTCTTACTTTGACAGCCTCGCATTCAGTGCTGTGTTCGACGTATCTCTCAGTAATAAGATTTCAGTAATGATTTTACATTGGGTTTCTGGCGTGTGTGTGTGTGTAAATGCACCTG